CTGTGCCTATTAGGGCCTTTATGTGATCAGGTTCTTTATGCTGTTTATGATTAAGGTGTTGTGAGCAGTCATGTGCATTAGTACACATTTGCCACACAGGCTAGAATGCCAGCAAAGGGGTCTAAATTGAAACACTCCTTTCATCCTGGATAATCTTATAGGATACCACCGTCCGGCGGACATATTAATTAAAGTTCTAAGGTGATTCTGTTTGGAAAGAGATCGGGGAAGGCCTTCTACCCATGTCACAGAAATTAGGGAGTAGTCTAATATAGCAAGCATCAGAAAGACAGAGATCATCTTTAAGGTGAGAGCCGGGGCAGCTTTTCGAAATCCCTGAAGTCCTGATCTGCCTTGCTTGTCAGGTCTCCTCCTCACGACCTTGTCATAGGTGGGATCTCGTGTGCTGGCTCCCGGCACCAAGGAGCAAGTGTCTTTTAATTTCATGGCTGCAGTCACCACCTGCAGTGATTTTGGAGCCCAAAAAAATAGTCTCTCACTGTTTCCCCATCTATTTGCCACGAATTGATGGGACAAGGTGCCATGATCTTAGTTTTTTGAATGTTAAGTTTTACGCCACCTTTTTCACTCTTCTCTTTCACCCTCATCAAGGGGCTCTTTAGTTCTTCGCTTTCTGCCATGAGGGTGGTGTCATCTGCATATCTGAGGTTATTGATATTTCTCCCAGCAATCTTGATTCTAGCTTGTCCTTCATCCAGCCCAGCGTTTCTCCTGATGTACTCTGCATATAAATTAAATAAGCAGGGTGACAAAATACAGCCTTGACATACTCCTTTCCTGATTTGGAACCAGTCTGTTGTTCCATGTCCAGTTCTAACTGTTGCTTCTTGGCCTGCATACAGATTTTTCAGGAGGCAAGTCAGGTGGTCTGGTATTCCCATCTCTTTAAGAATTTTCCACAGTTTGTTGTGATCCACACAAAGGCTTTGGCGTAGTCAATAAAACAGAAGTATGTGTTTTTCTGGAACTCTCTTGCTTTTTCAATGCTCCAGAGGATATTGGGAATTTGACCTCTGGTTCCTCTGCCTTTTCTAAATCCAGTGTGAACATCTGGAAGTTCACGGTTCACATACTGTTGAAGCCTGGCTTGGAGAATTTTGAGCTTTACTTTGCTAGCATATGAAATAAGAGCAATTGTGGGGTAGTTTGAGTATTCTTTGGCATATAAATGGGTCTTATTTTTGTATACATTCAGTCAGTCTGTATCATTTGGTTGGAACATTTAATCCATTTACATTTAAGGTAATTATCAATATGTATGTTTCTATGACCATTTTCTTAATTGTTTTGGGTTTTATTTATTTGTTTTGGCTCCGCTGGGTCATTGTTGCTATGTTCAGGCTTTCTTTCTTTCTTTTTTTTTTTTTTTTAATGTTCAGGCTTTCTTTAGTTGTGGTGAGTGGGGGCTACTCTCTTGTTGTGGTGCCTGGGCTTCTCATTGCAATGGCTCCTCTCGTTGCAAAACACGGGCCCTAGAGTGCATGGGCTTCAGTAGCTGTGGTGCGTGGGCTGAGTTGCCCCATGGCATGTGGGATCTTTCCAGACCAGGGATCAAACCAGTGTCCCTTGTATGGCAAGGCAGGTTCTTAACCACTGGACTGGGAAGCCCACTGGGTTTGTTTTTGTAAGTCTTTTTCTTCTCTTAAGTTTCTCATGTAGAGGTCGTTTAGCGTTTGTGGTAAAGCTGGATTGATGGCGCTACATTCACTTAGCTTTTCCTTGTCTGTTAAGCTTTTGATTTCTTCACTGAATCTGAATGATATTCTTGCTGGGTAGAGTAATCTTGGTTGTAGGTTGTTCTTTTTCATCACTTTAAATATATCCTGCCTCTCCCTTCTGGTCTGCAGAATTTCTGCTGTAAAATCAGCTGATATCTTTAGGGGACACCATTGTATGTTATTTGTTGTTTTCCCCTTGCTGCTTTTAATATTTTTTCTTTGAATTTAATTTTCATTAGGTCAGTTAATATGTGTCACAATGTGATTCCTCCTTGGGTTTATCCTGTATGGGGCTCTCTGTGCTTCATGAACTTGGGTAGCTATTTCCTTTCCCATGTTAGGGAAGTTTTTGACTATAATCTCTTCAAATGTTTTTTCAGACCCTTTCTCTTTCTCTCCTTCTTCTGGGACCCTTATAATTTGAATGTTGTTGTGTTTAATGTTGTCCTGGAGGTCTCTAAGACTGTCCCCATTTCTTTTCATTCTTTATTCTGCTCAGCAGTTATTTCCACCATTCCCTCTTCCAACTCACTTTTCCATTCTTCTGCTTCAGTTATTCTGCTATTGATACCTTCTGCTGTATTTTTCATTTTAGTTATTGTGTTATTCATCACTGTTTGTTTTCTCTTTAGTTCTTCTAGGTCCTTTGTAAGCATTTCTTGTATTGCCTCAATCCAGGCCTCCATTTTTAAAAATTTAATTTAATTTTATTTTTTAACACCCAAAACATTTTGTATTGTAGTATAGCTGATTAACAGTGTTGTGATAGTTTCAGGTGAACGGTGAAGGGACTCTGCCATACATATATATGTGTCTGTCCTCCCCAAACCCACCTCCCATCCATGCTGTCCATGCCTCCGTTTTATTTCCAAGATTTTGGGTCATTTTACTATTATTTCTCTGAATTCTTTTTCGGGTAGATTCTATTTCCTCTTCATTTATTTGGTTTTATAGGTGTTTACCTTGCTCCTTCATCTGTAACATATTTCTCTGTTGTCTCATTTCTGTTGATGAGTAGGGCTGTGTTCCTCTTGCTGACTGTTTGGCCTGAGGCACCCAGCGATGTTGCTTGTGGGCAGTTGGATGGAGCTGGGTCTTGGTTGCTGAATGAGGACCTCTGGCAGAGCTCATGCCAGCTAGTACTCTCTGGAGATCTCTGGTGGTCTAGAAGCCTGAACTTGAAGCTCCCATCACAGGAGCTTCTGACCCACAGCCTGGGAACCATGACCCCACAAGCCATGTGGCATGGCAAAAAAGGAAAAAATCAGACAAACAAAGCCCAAGGCAAATAATAACAAAACTGGGACAAATATACAAAAAAGAAAACAGACAAATATAACCCTCAACAAGTAATAAAAACAAATACAAGTAACCAAAAAACAAACCAATAAAAAAAGCAACAACAACAAAAGAAAAAAACAAGGAAAGCAAAAAACAAGAAGACACCCAAACAAGAGAGCCCCCAAACGAAAACTGATGATAAAAACAAACCTAGACCAAGATCATGGCCTCTGGTCCCATCATTTCATGGCAAATAGATGGGGAAACAATCTTTTTGGGTCCCCAAATCACTGCAGATAGTGACTGCAGTCATGAAATTAAAAGACACTTACTCCTTGAAAGAAAAGCTATGACCAACGTAGACAGCATATTAAAAAGCAGAGACATTACTTTGCCAACAAAGGTCCATGTAGTCAAATATATGGTTGTTCCTGTAGTCATGTATTGGATGTGAGAGTTGGAGTATAAAGAAAGCTGAGGGCCAAAGAATTGATGCTTTTGAACTGTGGTGTTGGAGAAGACTCTTGAGAGTCCCTTGGACTGCAAGGAGATCCAACCAGTTCATCCTAAGGGAGATCAGTCCTGGTGTTCATTGGAAGGACTGATGTTGAAGCTGAAACTCCAATACTTTGGCCACCTGATGCGAAGAGTTGACTCATTGGAAAAGACCCTGATGCTGGGAAAGATTGGAGGCAGGAGGAGAAAGGGACGACAGAGGATGAGATGGCTGGATGGCATCACTGACTCGATCGACGTGAGCTTGAGTAAGCTCCAGGAGTTGGTGATGGACAGGGAGGCCTGGCGTGCTGCAGTCCATGGGGTCACAAAGTGTCGGACACGAGTGAGGGACTGAACTGAAACTGAAAGCTAAACAGAAAAGAAAAAAAAATAAAAAAACGAACTGAAAGAAAAGCTCTGTGTGTGCTCCTTTCACCAGGGTCTGCTCTTGAAGCTGGCCCAGAGCACACGTGTCAGCACAGGCTGACTGGAGCATAGGCTTCCGTGGGCATGACCGCAGGGGCTGGAGCAACTGGAAGAAGCCTTGGAGGGGGGAGCCCTCTGCCTGCCTGGACCCATGACTCACGGAGGCTTTGAGCGGGGGTGGTGCATGGGTCCACTGGGCCCCCAGCAGCCAGAGGAGGCCTTGGTGGAGGTGGGGCTCAGGCCTGGAACCCCAGCAGACTTGCCAGGGCTTGAGCAGACTGGGGAGACCGTGGCTTGAGGGGTGAGCGAGCCTGCCACACGTCACCCAGCCGAGGCTGCTGGGCAGGCGTGTGCTCCCATCACTGCCCGAGGAAGCTGGTTGGTGGGCAGGGAAGGGTTCTGCAGTGGTGACCCCACCCTTCACGTGCCACTCAACAATGGTGCCTTGCTCCCACTGTGGCCCAAGACCCTCCCCCACCAATACCCCAGGCCATCCCCTTACTGCCAACTGCTGTCCCCTCCCTGGACCCACTCCCCAAATCCCACTCACCAGCACCCAGCCCTCCTCCCCACCCTGAGACACATAGACTGGGGTGCGAAGGGCTGCAGCATGGACTGTATGCACAGGCTCCACTCCGTCCTGCCCCACACACGCTGGCTGCTGCATTCCCCTCCCATCCTGAGGTCCCCCTAAGGAGCTGACCCCCACTGTGAGCGTGCTTCCCTGAGTGTGGGATTGTTTCCTATCCCACAGCTTCCCCCAGGGAAGCCGGTCCGTCCTGCCTCCACTGCTGCCCTCTTCCTTCCCACACCGTACCTGGGAAGGGCGCTAAACAGAAAAGAAAAAAAAATTTTTCCTTCTGAAAAAAGATTGCGCTGGGACTCCTTCCATCCCCAGTTGTCCAAGGCCCTCTACCAGTGCCCAGCGTGCGCTCCATAAGAACTTCTCTGATGCGCTTCTGGCATACCGTGAGGAGACGTGAACTGTGTGTTATGTTCTCCTGCTCCGCCATCTTCCGTAATCTATTTTTTTTTAACCTTGAAAATTTCTTATAGGAATCAACAGTGAGACCATTGTGAAACCAGCTTCAATTTCAGAGGAAGAACTGTTGAATTTAATCAATAAACTAAATAATGATGATAATGTAGACAGCCTCCTTGTTCAGCTGCCTCTTCCAGGTGAGATTTATATAGCACCATTTAAAATGATTTCTGAGGCGTGGAGAGGCTTGTTTAGCTTATACAGTTGGCTCCTCATGTTTATTTGTCTTAAAGAAAGGGGAGGTAAATCAAGATTGAGTGAGTATGTTGTTAGATATGAGACAGACCTACTCAGAATACCAATTACTCCCTGACTTGGTATTGAGATATTAATACAAAGGACAGTGGAGGGAAGCAGTTTGGGGAGGACAAGAGGACACTGGTTTGGTCTTGGCATTTGACTTTGCTTGCTGTGTGTTCCCAATGCACAGATGAATAAGTTAAGGGGTGAGTTACAGAAGGGGAATGGGTTTTTACTGCACTTGTTACATAGTTGTAACACTTGACCTCTGCTCTGATTTCTTTTTCAGAGCACATTGATGAGAGAAAGGTCTGCAATGCTGTTTCTCCAGACAAAGATGTCGATGGCTTTCACGTAATTAATGTAGGACGAATGTGTTTGGACCAGTGTTCCATGTTACCAGCTACTCCATGGGGTGTGTGGGAAATAATTAAGCGAACTGGTAGGTATATCCATCTCAGTATTATCAAAACATGCTTACAAAATGGTAAAAATTCCTACAGAACAAACAGTGGAAACCCCCACCTCAGATCATCTAGTCCTACTCCCCAGAGCCTAACTACCTTAGCAATTGCCTACAACTGTTTTTGCTGCTTAATCCAGAAAACTCTGAAGGAAACTTAAGCTTTGATAGTGGTAATAGTGCACATTCATATAACATTTTGCAGCTTATGTTTCCTTTTAGCTTTCACTATGTGTAGCAAGTGATGGTTCAGTTGACTGATGAGTCAGTAAGCTAGTGATTTCCTTCATTATCACAATTAGAGTCACATCCTAAAGTGTCAGTCTTCCTTTTTCTTAGGTGCTCTAAGATAATCTGGCCCTATGTGAAACGCAAATATATTTATTTTTCACAGGCATTCCAACCCTAGGGAAGAATGTGGTTGTGGCCGGAAGGTCAAAAAATGTTGGAATGCCCATTGCAATGTTACTGCACACAGATGGGGCACATGAACGGCCCGGAGGTAAGAATATTGCTCTCAGGAAGGTGTCCTCTTCTCCCTTGTGAGAAAAACTCCAGAGACTGCCCTGTGGATGCTTGGAAGTGTTTGTTAAGCTTTACTTGTCTTTGTTATAATTTTGTTAATAGGTACTTTGGGAGTAATCTTTGTAGAAGAAGATGTACTCAGTGTTACTTGAGAGTTAATTTATATTCACTAATATGGAACTAGTTCAGAAATAGATATGTCTCAGAAATTTGAGTTTTGAGTGTAAGCATGGTTATAGACAATTAGAATTTTCAGTTATGGGTTTGATAGTTGGAGCTAAGAAGTATACCTTATTCAAAGTTAGTATCCTGATCTGTGCCATTTTATAGGAAAAAAAAGATTTTAGACCATTGCAAAGGATTGAATTCATATGACTGTAATGTGTCATCATTATGTTAAATTCTGTTAATTTGAGAAAAACTCTCAAATCAAAGTGATATGTTATTATCATAAAATGACCATACATGATTATATCAGAGATAAAATATATCAGAACTAAATATTTCTGCATATCTTTCAGCACACTTTTAAGAAAAATCCTTGAGTAATTCTAGTGACATTTTGTTTAGAAAGACTGTTAAAAAGGATAAGGAATAAATCTAATGATATATGACTCCAGAGGGTAGAGCTAGGACCAACAGGTAAAAGTTACAAGAAATGGAGTATTAGTTTGTTGTTTTTTTTTTAAATGACAGTTGGCTGCCCAGAAAGTATGGTGTAAGATTTGTCAATTATTTTTTCAGAGGTCTTGAAAATTTCTGGCATGGTTTGCCTAGTTGAAATCTAATCCATTCCTAGCTTTGATTCAGAAATTAAAACATCTGTTTTTTAACTCACAGGCGATGCCACTGTCACAATATCTCATCGGTACACTCCTAAGGAGGAGCTAAAGAAACATACAGCTCTTGCAGATATTGTGATCTCCGCTGCAGGTAAGAGCACCGGGGAGGGGGTGGAAGTACCTTGCTCAGAGGATGATGATGGACCTCTTATCTTCAAATTTGCCTACTGCCCTGTCGTTTTATTCCATATTCCCCTAGGTTTGACCATAACGTCAAAGCTGCTTGCAAATATGAGATTTGTGGTTGGAATACCGATTTCTGGCATTCCATTATATATTTGATGGATAAATGTTATTTCTACAGCCTCAAAATATTTTTGTTTACTATATGAAGTTTAACTGTTTCCCTGGTTAATATTTTTTTTATCAGTTTTTGTAAAACAAGATAATTCATTCTTGCAGGTATCTTGAAATTGATAAGAATCTTAGAGATGGAATATTCTTTTCAGTACTAAATTGATCATTCCTATCTCCTTTTCTAGGTATTCCAAATCTGATCACAGCAGATATGATCAAGGAAGGAGCAGCTGTCATTGATGTGGGAATAAATAGAATTCAAGATCCCATAACTGCTAAACCGAAGTTGGTTGGAGATGTGGATTTTGAAGGTAACTTTTTAAAATAAAAAAATCAATAAATCAATCAATAAATCAATCAATAAATACTACTTTTACTGGACAATTAGGGCAGACTATTTACTTTTTCTTTAACTTTTAAACTTATATTACCTGGTTATTACCATTTATTATTATGCTTTTCATGATAATTAAGAGAAACCTTTTAAAAAATTACAGTCATTCTAGAATTTTAGGTGTTTGTATCATCAAATTATGGAGAACAAATATAAAGTTTTCAGGGAATTTCTTTCTTCCCTTTAGGGTTATTCTATAATGAAAACAAGACTTTTAATAAGTCTGGAAAATTTAATTAAGTGATTTTTCTAAACCATTGAGTCTCCTAAAAAGTATTACAGACTTCTAATTTTCATACTGAGAGGAGAGATCTCAGACTTGCAATATTAAAAGTCCAGGAAAAAGCCATATTACTAAAATTTTGGAATTCACTGGTATATTTCTCCTTTCAGTTCTGAATTTATCTGAATTTTATGCTGATAATTCTATTTCTAGCTTTCTATTTTTTTTCTCAAGCAGTCAGACCCAAGCCTAGGTATCTAAGTAATTTTTCCCTTTAGATTGGATTAAAAAGAATCTTTTTACTTTCCAGAAAATTACTTTGCTTGGTGCTTTGGGTAAACAGTATAGTTAAATAAATAGAATAAAATTAAGAAAATATTGTAGGCAGGTTTTAATTGAAATAATCCTTACTATTATTATAGTTACACTTCCATACAGTTACCTACTGAGATGTTTCTTTTTAAATTTATTTAATATGGAGGAAAAGGATGGCTGATTATTTAAGTACATTCACTGAACAACTCTGCTTATTATATGCATGTTGTTTTATTATTGTTTTTTTTTGGCCACACTGCACAGCATGTGGGATCTTAGTTCTCTGCGAGTGCTCATTTGCTCAGTCATGTCTGACTCTTTGCAACCCCATAAACTATAGCCCACCAGGCTCCTCTCTCCCTGGGATTTTCGTGGCAGGAAAACCAGAGTGGGTTGCTGTTTCATCCTCCAGGGGATCTTCTGACCCAGAGATTGGACCCAAGTCCCCTGTGTTGCCTGCATTGCAGGCAGATTCTTTACCACTGAGCCACCGGGGAAGCCCTTAGTTGCCTGACCAGGGATCAGACCTGTGCCCCCTACAGTGGAAGCTCAGAGCCCCAACCACTGCATCGCCTGGGAGGTCCCTAAATGTGTGTTACTTTGTTAGTATGTTCAAAAGCCCTTGTTCTTGGGTAATGTAGATGTACTTTTTTTTTTTTAATGAGTTTGAGGCTTACTGAGATGCTTATGTATATTATTGCTTTTTCTGTGAATGCTTCTTCCATGATATGTTAAAGTACATAGAGTTTCTTTGCCATAATGACAGAGGTTGCCTGTCTTATTTCTGTGCAGGAGTCAAGAAGAAAGCAGGTTATATCACTCCAGTACCTGGGGGTGTTGGTCCCATGACAGTGGCAATGCTGATGAAGAATACTGTTATTGCTGCGAAAAAAGTGCTGAGGCTCGAAGAACGGGAAGTACTGAAGTCTAAAGAACTTGGAGTAGCAAGTAATTAACTATTGTGTCCTCTGTGTCGTGAACAGCACTCCAAGCCAGTTCAAGAGGAAAACCAGGTCAATAGAAATGCAATATTTTTTCTTTACTCTACTTACATGGCTTTAAACAACGCTTTGTATTTATTGTAAGCTTAAATGAGTGGCTGTTTGCACACATAGCTCTGCAGTAACCTACCAGGGAGCATGCCGCTATCGTGCTGGGTCATGCGATCCAACCAAGAGAAGCATTAACCTAGAGATTAACAGGGAGGACCCTGTCACACTGAGAATGGCTGCTTAACTTTGTCAGGCTGCTTCAGTTAAAATTTGTCTTCTTTAGAAAGGCAGCTATGCTCACCATTATACCACCAGTGCTGCCCAAACTTGTCTTTTCTATGATTACATTTCCCAAGTGCCATTCCAATAATGAGTTGATACTCACTTTAGGTTCCAAACCTTTTGAGTTCAACTGGTCAAACCAAAGGAAAAATGTTGCTAGAGAAAATTAGGGAAAAGTTAAAAAAGAAAGAAATGATGGTAATTGAGTAGAAAAAATTTACCCTAATTTATATATGTACTGATGATAAACAGAAGGAAAACTGCATGTTAATAGTCTCCTAAGCTACCATTTTGTGACTCAGTCATTGGGAAAATGTTTGGGGTTTTCCCATTTGCTATTAGCCCTTGTTTTATGTTCATTACCGCTTGGGGTCTCCCCATTTTACTTTTCTAGGATTGAAAGGCTTATTTGATAAATTATTCATGTGTGTTGTCATATTTGACTTTTCCTATATCCTCAAACTTCATTGTCAAATTTTTATACTGTTGGAGGCATCTGTATGGTTTCTTTAGTGTGTCTTGAAACCTATTTTTTGAAAACATAACTTGGGCTTGATAATCATTAGGGCAGCTATATATAAGTATGCAACTTACTTTGCCACCAAAGAACTGTCAACAGCTGCCGGCTTTTCTCCGCTGCACCTGTTGGCTTTCCTTGATCGATTTTTGAGAGCGAGAGTTAATACTGAATTTAATCAGACTTTATTAAGGGACTTTTTTGCATCATTTTAATTTTTTAAATAAAACACTTCTGACTGATATGGAATGAGTTTCTGAAATACTTCGTCTTTCTGCTACTATCTTCTTGTGACTGAATTTTTCTCATTGGATGTAATCAATTTAAATATTCCTATATTTGGTAACATCCAATCCTATGCCTTTAACAAATTGGTTTAAAGAGCTGTGGAGAAACTAGCCTAGTCCTTTTAATCGTACATCCCAAGCCAGAAGTTTCATCTGTAAGATTCATTTCAGTGGTTAGTCTTGTTCTGAGTATTTTAAACCACATGTTCAATTTACACAGGACTTCTTGATATGTTTTGCCAAATCTCTCCCTCCTCCACATTATATATATAAAATTTTTTTCCTGTGTGTGTGTGTTTAAAACATTAGTTTGATTGCACAGATCGGAAGGTATTTGCTGTGGCATATTTGCGGTTTGGGTAGGTCCCGTGTGTTCTGCTCGAGGGCTGGGTATTTGGCTTTCATAAAGGCAGGAGCAGCTCCTGCTCCAGGCAGCTTGAGGCAGAGAGAGGAAGGAGAACAGTGCAGAGCTGCCCTTCTCCCGCGTTCCCTTGCTGCCTTATGCTTTTGATAGTTTTCTGGAGATGAAGAGGGGTGATAGTTCTAAAGGTGTTTTTGTAAGTGAGGTATAGTTCCTGTCTGTACGTCATACCTACTGACTCACCTAAATTATTAAACTTGGAGCAAGATGAGCAGATGGAATTAAGTTTTACTGAGTTGTAGTTACAAGTGGAAAAAAGTATGACCTGTATGAAGAAGTAACAATATGTCAACCTGTTAAAAGCTATTAAAATTAAAATGTTCCTGTGTATGTGTACAAAATGCAAATAACATACAAGGTAAAAATTACAGTGATCAATTTACAACAACAAAAAAAAATCAACATTTTAGCTTTCCAGCTTGTTTGATTAATCAAGCACATTTACTCCTGAATCCATACCATTTCTACAGCACAGTTTGGACAAAGTGCTATTGGAAATCAGACAGGTTTTAAAACTGCAATGTTCAGAGCAGATTGTTAGCACTCCCAGAATTGGTGTAGATGAAGACAAAGAATTTATACTTAAACTCAGGCAATGGTTCTGGATTAGTGAGCAGCTAAGCAATTCTGCTGCTCTCAGTAGAAGTGGTGGAGGTTTAGAGCTTTACCTCATGGCAGTATCCTTAGAAGGGACTTCTGATATTTAATTTCATGAACACTGAGAGCTTTCTATTGGACCAGGCACTCTGCTGGCTCTGGGGATCAGAGGCAATTAGCTATCCCCATACTCAAGTTGGTTAATGAATCTAGTGTCATTTGTACCTTTAAAAAATAGAAAGGAATAAAGAAAAAGCACCTGCATTTGTCATCTTGAGTAAGTCTGGTAACTGTAACTAAAGTAATTCACTCAAGATTCAAATCCATAGTTGTTTTGGAGAAGGTAAATGTCAGATGCACTGGGGCTATCAGGCACACAGAGGTGGTAAATAAACATGGTTGGTGTTTGTTAAATGTGAATTGAAGATAAAAAGACTGACCTTAAGCACGGTTTGTGATTAATGGGTTTTAATCTACCCAGTTTGTTTCCAATTATTCCTTTAAAGTACTAGTCTGACTAGTATTACAGAGTTATAATCTTCCAAAATTTCACATTAGCCTTGCCTAACACGTAGTGTTCATGTGAATGCTAGTTGGACTTTGGGAATCAGGCCATTGAAAACTTGCAGGAAAGAGCTACCCAAATGCATCAAGAAATGTGATTCTGTGCTTGAAAAACCAGTGATACTAATTTAAAGGATCATTTGGTTGATTTGCCATGTGACTTGAGATTTCACTTAATTGTTTTTAAAACATCCACTCGAATGTGTTGGTTCTTTCACAGCCAGACTTTCAGAACTAGCTGTCACCCTGGGAAAGCCCCAGTCACACTTCTGTGCTGGAACAAGGCCCAGAATGCAGATGGTTCAAACTTTTCATAGAAAACTGAATGGGATGGAGAGATAAGAGGACCTTTTTAGCATTTCTTAGTATGCAAAACAAAATTTCCAACCTTGGTCTATTGAAGTACACGTATTTTAACAGTTCTTTTAAGACCATCTAGATAATTTAAAATCTAAGCATTAAAAAAATCATAACTGATATTTGTTTTAAATAAAAACTGACTAGTGCCCCTTTATCTTATCTACAGTTTTGAGAGGCAAGCATTTTTTTTTTTTTTCATTTCAAAAGAAATGTTATCATTTCTATGCTGGATTGCATTTTAAAATAAGGTGTACCAGTAAGCTTTAGTTATTTTCATAACTACAAAGGGAAGAAAAGGGCTTTGCACGACAGAGTTCCAGTTTTCATCGAACAAGCAGAATGACTCTCTCTGCTTGGTAAATATAGGAACAGGCTTCGAAAGTGAAGGGTTTTGGCCCAGACTCTTACGGTGAGGACTAAACCAGGCCCTCACTCTGTGCCCTGTCTCGGGGAAGCTCTTCCTCCTAGAGGGTGGTCTCGCCGTCAGCGTCTCTCCCATATCTGTCCATGTCTGTGAAGTCACACTCGGGCTCCATCTCTATCTTCACCTGTGGCACCATGAAGACGGGGCTCTGGGAGTAGTTGAAGGCAGGTGAGGCAGGACAGGAGATTTTGAAGTGCAGGGTGATGCTGAATGAGAAAGAGAGGAGGGAAGAATGATTTTTCTAGGATATGGTGTTTTTAAATGCTCTCTCCCAGGACAGGGTTCTAGGGCAAACAGTTGTGTCTTTGCTGTTGATCTCTTAACACATCTCAGGAACTAGCAGTATCCTGTCTGCTTGGCCTTCAGCTGTGACAGTTACTGCTCTAGCCCTACTTCAACCTATTTTCCTCATTGTTGCCAAAGTGAACTTCTGGATCATGAACCTGACTGGTCCCCCATTGTTCAAAGGAGAGAATTCATCCCCCTTAGCCTGGCGAGACAAGAACCTTCTCTGCTCGAACTCCTGCTGCAGTTTGCCCTGGTCTTTGCTGCGTGTCTCTAGTATTTCAGGCCTCTTCTCAGTACCTCTATGTAGTGCCTTTTCTCTCTCTTTTCCTTTTCTGTCTACATCTGGTAGACTCCTGTTTATTGTTCCCAGATTCTCTGGGTAAGGCTGATCCCTCCCTTAGATTCCTGTCCTTGCTCTTACGTGTGCTCCGTTGTTCTTGGCCCAGGGTAGTATATATCTTTGTTCACATGTCTGTCTTTCTCTATTGCCAGGGATTAAGCACAATGCCTGGTAGATCATGGATGCTAATCTGCTAAACTAGATCATGTTGCTGAGTTTCTTTTCTTCACTGAAATGGAATCCTGCTATTTAGTCATCTTTGCTTCTATCTACTTTCATAGATTCAGTAAAATACCAGTGTAGTTGAGGTGCCATTACCATTTATGAAATTTTCTGCATTTTTGACCTTGTCCTACGCTTCGTGTCCTTTAACAGGGTTTTGGAGATATTCTATCCTGATCCAAATTCTCTCCATTAACTGAAATTGGAGCTGTTGGAGATTCAATTTTGTATACTTTAAAATTAAAATAAATCAAGATAGACAGAGTGCTTTTCTCCTAACACATTTATTTATAAAGATCAGTGCATGAAGGTCACAGGAGCCCTGACTCAGGAAGTGGGATGACATGGCAGGCAGGTATGTGATTTGGATTTGACACTCCTGGGTTACCGTGGCCTCGGGCCTAATGCTTGTACTGGTGATAAATCTCATCCGGGCAATGTGATAACAGCTTTGACTTATAGCTCAGAAGATCCCTTGGGTGATCTACACTCTCTGTACATGTGTCCTACAATCTCTGGGTGACTGCCATCTGTATCTGGAGTCAGCTGCCGCTTATCTTGGGACAGCCCGTGCTTTTCCCGTTAGATCTAGCACTGGACTCCTGTCCAGTTTAGGGTACCCTGTAGGAGCAGGACTGCCCTCGCCATCTTCCATAGTGATG